CCAACGGTCTAATGACTTCTGGTATTGGACAAAATGCGTCGTCAGTAATGGATCTGGCGGATAACGTAGCCCCCAAATAAAACAAGCTTAATACTCTTGTCTTATGGCAAAGATCCTCGTCCCACCAAACTTGTTCGCCCTTTCAGCCATGAGGACGTTATAATGTGACGGTCAATCCCACTATTCGTTGGTTAAAGAGTAGTCCAAGAATTGGTGGTGGGTGGTGATGACTAGCTGCCTTTCCTCTAGTCTTTCACTGCTAAATTAAGAACGGCTAGCGCAGATAGCCCTCATGTAGCTTTGCGCGAAATTCAAAACAAATCAAGCTAAACGTATGGCAATGTAATTTGTTATAATTCACCAGCAAAAGGCGTTCATTCGTAACCATTGTTATCTTAAAGTGGTTTGTTAGTACACACACTTCCGTTATTTTGAACAACTAATAGCCGAAGAAATGTAACATTTTGAAAAATAAAAAATCACTCCCCCCTCACATTTTTCATGTTCCCTTTCTTTGGAGTCTAAATAGGCTTAGCTTTCGATGTATTGGTTACAACCATCGTTACTGAAACTAGTTAACTGCATGTTCCTGTTCTTTGGAGTCTAAATAGGCTTAGCTTTCGATATATTGGTTACAACCATCGTTACTGAAACTAGTTAACTGTATGTTCCTGTTCTTTGGAGTCTAAATAGGCTTAGCTTTCGATATATTGGTTACAACCATCGTTACTGAAACTAGTTAACTGTATGTTCCTGTTTTTTGGAGTCTAAATAGGCTTAGATTTCGATATATTGGTTACAACCATCGTTACTGAAACTAGTTAACTGTATGTTCCTGTTTTTTGGAGTCTAAATAGGCTTAGATTTCGATATATTGGTTACAACCATCGTTACTGAAACTAGTTAACTGTATGTTCCTGTTTTTTGGAGTCTAAATAGGCTTAGATTTCGATATATTGGTTACAATCATCGTTACTGAAACTAGTTGACTGTTTTTTTTAAATGAATAAATAATTTATTAATTTAGTGCCTTTTAAATTTAGCATAACGAGTCTTCGAATTTATTTTAAAATACGTTAGTTTGTAGGATGATTCTGTTGTACATGACGGTGAGGTACTCGTGTACTTCGTGTGGGAGTGATAAGAATTTTAGGAAAAAATACAGAAAACTGTTTACATGGGCGTCCGTAGGAGGGGACACTTCTCCCACCTGGAAAATGAGAAACATAATTCTTTCTTTGTTCATTCAGCATACGTATATGATTTTTTTATTCTATTCACAAGTTCGCACTACTTTGCCACCTCCCCCCTTGGAAAAATTTCTGCGGACGCCCATGATTGTTTCATGAGTATAAATAACACACAATGTTGACTTTGGTATTCATCCTGACTAATGTTGTCCAGTCTGACATTGTATTTTACTGAAGCGATGAAATTGATTTAATCCGTCTGTACATGAATTTATGCAAGCATTAAGTGTGTAAAATGGTACCATCTTGGAGTTCCATGGTATTGTATCATGCATAACGGAAATAAACAGAAAACGTGGAGCTCCACGTGATTATATTGTACGTAACAGAGACGAACAGAAAACGTGGAGTTCCGCGGTATTGTATCATACGTAACGGAAATGAAAATGAAAACTTGGAGTTCTACGTTACAATATCACATGTAACGGAAGTGGAGCATGTAAGAAATGCTTTGTGACATTATTTTAACGGAAGTGAAGCATGTAAGAAATGCTTTGTGACATTATTTTAACGGAGGTGGAGCATGTAAGAAATGCTTTGTGACATTATTTTAACGGAAGTGAAGCATATAAGAAATGCTTTGTGACATTATTTTAACGGAACTGATGCATGAAAGAAATGCTTTGTGACATTATTTTAACGGAACTGAAGCATGTAAGAAATGCTTTGTGACATTATTTTAACGGAATTGAAGCATGTAAGAAATGCTTTGTGACATTATTTTAACGGAAGTGGAGCATAAAAGAAATGCTTTGTGACATTATTTTAACGGAAGTGGAGCATATAAGAAATGCTTTGTGACATTATTTTAACGGAAGTGGAGCATGTAAGAAATGCTTTATGACATTATTTTAACGGAAGTGGAGCATATAAGAAATGCTTTGTGACATTATTTTAATGGAAGTGGAGCATATAAGAAATGCTTTGTGACATTATTTTTCACATGTGTTCCTCTGGTCGTGTGTAGTTATTAACAGTTAGTCTATGAATGGAAATTTACATATCTTTTATCCGTTTGTTTTATCCTGGGCATACCCGCTCTTATCAGAGAAACCAACTATATTATTCTGGATCTGTCTGTCGGGGATTGAACTCCGGTGTTAAGAGTTATAAACCTTCAAATTTATTACTGAATTAGCGGGGGAATTACTCCAGAAATGCCACATGTTTTATATCTGGTATTAAAAATTGGCGCTACGTGGCTAGATCTGAACTAAAATTGAAGGGCATGTTCCTTATTAAAAATTGGCTCCACGTGGCTAGATTTTAGCTAAAATTGAAGGGCATCTAGAAAAGAAGTTACTAAAAATGAGTTTATGAAAGAGCGGGAAGAATAGGGCATAAATAATAAGTAAAAAAAAATAACTATTGGATTTGGTTGCTGAAGTTGCACCGTTATGACTATTTGGAACTAACGAGACACGGTGAAAAGTTAGGGAATAATTGTAGTAACCTTTATCTGTTATATCGTGAAAGAATATTTACCCATGTTTGAAAATGAGTGGAAAATGGATATTCTCGGATGACGGATGGAGGTGAAACATAAAAGTAACGATATCACTGTAATTTATCAGTTATTGCTCTATTAAAGGTACTTTTTCTATCTCACAATTGTGATAATTATGCAACAGCTTTTTTTTTTAAACCAACATATCTTCAACGTCTTCGTTGTAAATGAACAAAAGAAACTTCTTCTATAACATGATAAAAGGCAACGTTTAACGAAATTCATTCTTGAATTTATCGTTCAAAACCATGAATTCAAACTTGAGACTGTTTTCGGAGTGACTTCTCACACTTTAGTTTGCAGACCTGGATCTCTATACAGTATTGAAACTAGCCTTCTCATGCACTAGATGGATTAAGGAAAGCAACAAGGAACAGTGGTGTGCTTTGGACATAACAGACTTATAATAGAATTTTTTGAAATATAAATAACGCTGCAGGACTGTTGTCAAGATGCAAAGTCGTCAGATAGAACACGACCGGATGTGAAGAAATGGATTGTAACAACGTAATGAATATCTAAATCGTTTTAGTATAACGTACTCAGCCTCCGTATATGTTTTAGTATAACGTACCCAGCCTCTGTATATGTTTTAGTTTAAACATTAACCTTATTCCAAAACCCATGAATTACTTGTTTGTAATTTTCCCCCATCAGTAATAGTCTCAGAGTGACAAGAATATTTCTTTGCAGTTAGCCCAAAAAGTTGCGACAGTTTTTATACGCAGAGAATAACTTTTTATCCCAAAAGAAGTACGTATATGTGTGGGCACCTTTTAAAGAAGTACGAGTTCTACGGAAGTACAATTAAAAAAAACTAAAAGTTCACAATGTCGTCAATAGATGTCACCAGATGCTTAAAACCACACAGGATCTCAAGTATGTAACTGAACAGCAATGGCCATAAATAGGTAGATAAAGTTAAGATTGGAAAATAGATACTTTAATTTTAAAAGTTACCCTTGAAAACTGAGTTCAGGTTCTAAACCAGCTACTTACGGCAGCTAAATGACAATAACATTAGGTTATTTTAACTGTTATTTTCTGACGGTTTTTCTTTTTGCTTATGACGTATTTTTATGTCAGTTTATCTTATTTTTGCAATGCTAGATTAAACTGTACGTTAACCGGTAGGGCAACAACTATCAGTCTTATACATTAACCACATTTCTCTTGTTCTATCCGAGAATTTAGTTTTTCTTATGAAATGTGTTTTATATTGTCGCTTCAGTTGTTCCGATGGTCGGAAATGCACCAAAAACATTGTTTTGAAATTTCTAACGTTTTCAGTAATTACTATTAGAAAATAATACACATCCACAAAATACAACTTTACTGCCATCTTCTGGCAACTTGTGAAAATACTTTACACAGGCAGTGCAAACAATGGTGGTTGAGACACATAGTAACTATACCTTAATAGTAATGTTTGTTCTGAAGTTTTACACTGTTATCAATCTGGTTTTCCAGAATATAATGAACTTCTAAGTTTAATAAAGTGGTTAACGGGGGAAAGAACTAACTGCTGGTTACAATTCTGGTTACGTTAGTTCTCACCAGACTACGTTCACTAATGTTTACATCTCTCTCAATATCCTACATCTGATGGATAATATCCTTCCAAGGATATACGTTACCGTTTGTTTTACGATCCTTTATGTTATCTTACTATAAAACATTCTTACGTTCTGTAATATGCTTATAGGTTTGGAAACAAAAACAACCAGAATGCGGGTTATTTTCATTCTATTGACTAGAATTATACGAGTTTGTGCATTATGAAATATGACTTTATAAGTAGAACAGTGTGATTGGAAAACACGAGACGGACACAAAAGAATTAATGTGCTTCTAGCTCCAGACGATTTCCTTAGCATTTCAAGCAGTGGTTTGACCGAAAAAAAATGTGAGTATCTTTTATGCAATGCATCTTATTATACACTTATAATCTTTATAAAAAGTAAGTCCACAACAACAACAACAAATGGCATTGACTGCCTTTTATTCATCGGGTCTATTCACAACCAAATCTACAAACACGTGCTTGTTCTATTATAAAAACACAACTGAAGCCTGTCCGGAAACATTTCAACAATCGGTCATTACTTTATTTTTATTGATGTTTGAAGAAAAAAATTATTTAGGAAATAAAAACATTACAATTCTGTTAGTTAAGAAACAGTTGCGGGTTTTAGATGTACTGTAAGGGTTTTTTTTTCACATGTATTTCTTTTTGTACGTCATTTCCGAGATCATTCGGAAGTTTATTTTGGATGTACATGAGCTGTTACTCTAAACTTTCTTGATGTGGAGACCTCTAGCTTCATTTCTACTGGAAAGGAGAAGACACTAAGAAAAAAATTAAGAACAATTAAAAGAAGTTTTTAGCGAAATAAAATGTTTTATTTATCTAACATATTATTTTTATTACGTCTATTTCTTTTCTACTCGGTTATATCTAATGCTCATACGTCTTTATAAACAGTATTATAAAGCATATTAAACCACTTTAGGACCGATTCTGTAGCCCTCTGCTGGTAGAGGTTTGACGCCTCCTGGGGGTTAATTATGTGTTTATTTTTAATCCACACAGAAAAAAAAATTAGTCAACACCTGTGTTTTAAGCTTAAATCTACAGTCGAGATGAATAACACATTCCCAATCTGCTTTAGTTTTACAGTATAATCCACAATCTGCTTTAGTTTTACAGTATAATCCACAATCTGCTTTAGTTTTACAGTATAATTCACAACCTGCTGTAGTTTTACAGCATAATCCACAACCTGCTGTAGTTTTACAGCATAATCCACAACCTGCTGTAGTTTTACAGCATAATCCACAATCTGCTTTAGTTTTACAGAATAATTCACAATCTGCTTTAGTTTTACAGTATAATCCACAATCTGCTTTAGTTTTACAGTATAATCCACAACCTGCTGTAGCTTTACAGCATAATCCACAATCTGCTTTAGTTTTACAGTATAATCCACAATCTGCTTTAGTTTTACATCTTACCCTTATTCCTTAATCCGAGCTTTACAGTGAAGACACATAACCCCTGTTCCTATATCTAGTAAAATTCAACAACATAACCACTGTGTATAACCCCCTCAAACTGTACATCGTGTACAACATAACCACTGTGTATAACCCCCTCAAACTGTCCATCGTGTACAACATAACCACTGTGTATAACCCCCTCAAACTGTCCATCGTGTACAACATAACCACTGTGTATAACCCCTCAAACTGTCCATCGTGTACAACATAACC